ATGCAGGCACATCAACCTTTGTACTTTGAGTTAATATTAATAGGAACTGAAAAACATTATTTAGGTAAGAAAATCAGGTATTGAAAATTGTAATTAAAAATAGGAAAATTTGCGCTGGGTACTATATACCCATGGTTAGTGTTCAATATCAGATAAAGTTTTGGAATCGTGCTTATTTGGAGGTATAGGTTTATGTCATATGTGGATAAATAATAGTCTTGGGTAAGGGTTATTTGGAGAAAGTATTTGTTTTATTAGAAACAGCGCTTTCTAATACAAGTTACTTTGCCTTCAGTTTCTCATACAAGTTGGTTATTAGAGTTTGTTATTTTTAGTAAGGATCTTTATGAAACTGAACTCTACTTTTTCCTTTTTTATCAGTTTTCGAAATACGGTAAAGTTTTTATGCAGTTTTGAATGGAGTTTTGAAGTTTCTCTATTTTGATGTAAAATGCGATTTCCTTTAACGAATTAAGAATTGTGTTTTGTTTAGCATTTTTTTATGAATACATTTACAGAAAATGGGTAGATTCATTATTGTTTCTTATATTATTTATGATTGATTAATCATTTATCTCGACAATAGGGTCGTATATTTCATATGGAGTCATGAGAGTCCTGATCAAAGAGTATTCGTGTTGTTTCCGGGACGCTGAGGACAACAGTCCGAACGATCAAAATAGCATATATAGTTAAATACCTCATCTCAGAAATACAGACAGATCCTGAAGAAGGCCGGAGTGTACAACGGCCAAAAGGTCGAGAATATGGCAAAGAAGATGAGGACAACAGTCCGAACGATCAAAATAGCGTATATAGTTAAATACCTCATTTCAAAAATACAGACAGATCCTGAAGAAGGCCGGAGTGAACAACGGCCAAAAGGTCGTGAATATGGCAACGAAGATGAGGACAACAGTCCGAACGATGTAAATAGCGTATATAGTTAAATAGCTCATCTCAGAAATACGAACAGATCCTGAAGAAGGCCGGAGTATACAACAGCCAAAAGGTCATGAATATGACCACGAAGATGAGGACCACGGTATATAGTGTAAATAGTTACAATATCTCATCTCAGAAATATAAACGGATCCTGAAGAAGGTCGGAGCTTACAACTGTCGAAATGTCGTGAATATTGCCATGAAGACGAGGACAACAGTCCGAACACTGTATATAGTGTAAATAGTTACAATATCTCATCTCAGAAATATAGACAGACCTTGAAGAAGGCCGGATCGTACAACGGCTGAAACGTCTTGAATATTACAATAAAAATGAGGACAACAGTCTGAATAATGTAAATAATGTAAATAAATTTGATAATCGATTGTACATTGAAATTACTATTTATATTTTTTTTAGACATTGGCGCGAATGATGGCCTTTCTTTATTTAAATATCAATGTCGTATTTTTAAGGAAGACGAGTTGTTTTTCATTATATAGGAAAGCCATTTCGTTCTTAGATCTTTTTTTAACATCGTTTATCCTCACTGATGAATATGATGAATCATATGACTGATTCTTTTCTATTAATTAACATTCAATCAGTTTTAACGAGAATGATGACATTTCTATTAATTTCTTATTTTCCAATTACATTAATTCTATTAATAATAATAAACAATATAATTGGTATAGCAGACAACGACACGTTTACTTCCACATCCATTAATGAAGCGTCCTACATAAGACGATAATCACCACCCGAGTCCTGGGTAAGACGACAAACTACGTCTAACTGCAAGGCCTATGATCAGGAAGTTCTGAGGAGCGTGAAACCACCTCTTAATTGCTGATGTTCCCAGGTCAACGCTGACCCGTAGTGGTAGCGCTTGTCAGGGTCCCGGCTATGGGTAAATAGTTACCCCCCAAAAAAAACTGGGGTCAAAACACTATGGAAGTATAAAAATAGGTTTTAACACCAGCTATACATTTTTTGTACTATTTTTTACCAGCAATACATTAAAATTTATTGCCAACAGACTTTTGAAAAAAAAATATTGCCAGAAAATAAAAACCTTTCCGGCATAACCCATTGAGGTGTTGATATGCTTTAAAACAAACCAAACCAAAACCTTAATGAATGCATAAATTTCTATAAAGATTGATTGATTTGTTTGTTTAGCGGCATGACAAATCATTTATGGATCATTTAATGCCGAAATTTAAATTTCTTGGGAGCTTTGAAGTAATAAATATATGATATATGTTATTCTGCTTTCGCAATTGAATGCATGGTAAGTATTTAAGTATTTACTCTGACCCCCCCTACACACACAAACTTGGACGAGATGTGTCACAAGGTCTATATTTAGGTGGAGACCCGAGCCCGTACACTCGGGACAGGAACAAAAATTCCTCTCAGTCCCCGCAACCGTTGGTTACGCTGGCCTCGCTGCGTGGCAGATAATACTTGGCTTTTGTGCATATGTATGTCTGTGTGGACATAATTACTAGAAGCGGTGTTATGTGTGTTTAATGTTGTAGTTTTGTTAAAATTATATTTTGGAATACGGTTTGATCTCTTTAAGAAATTGTAGTACAGTGTAACCCGGATGTAAGTGAGTTGTCGGGACCGGAGAAGAAGTCTCTTATATCCGGGTTTCTCTATATCCGGGTTTATTCTATTTATATACATTAACACAGGTCTAATTTGGGGACCAGAGAAAATCTCTTATATCCGGGTTTTCTTATATCCGGGTTTGGTCTATTTTATATACATTAACACAGGCTCTAATTTGGGACCAGAGAAAATCTCTTATATCCGGGTTTTCTTATATCCGGGTTTGGTCTATTTTATATACATTAACACAGGCTCTAATTTGGGACCAGAGAAAATCTCTCTTATATCCGGGTTTCTCTTATATCCGGGTTTGGTCTATTTTATATACATTAACACAGCCTCTAATTTGGGACCAGAGAAAATCTTATACGGGTTTGGTCTATTTTTATACATTAACAGGCTCTAATTTGGGACCAGAGAAAATCTCTTATATCCGGGGTTCTCTTATATCCGGGTTTGGTCTATTTTATATACATTAACACAGGTTAATTTGGGACCAGAGAAAAATCTCTTTTATATCCGGGGTTTCTCTTATATCCGGTTTGGTCTATTTTATATACATTAACACAGGCTCTAATTTGGGACCAGAGAAAATCTCTCTTATATCCGGGTTTCTCTTATATCCGGGTTTGGTCTATTTTATATACATTAACACAGCCTCTAATTTGGGACCAGAGAAAAATCTCTTATATCCGGGTTTCTTATATCCGGTTTGTTCTATTTTATATACATTAACACAGCCTCTAATTTGGGACCAGAGAAAATCTCTCTTATATCCGGGTTTCTCTTATATCCGGGTTATACTGTATATTATATGGATTAATGTCGCGAAATTTTTCTCACACGTTGGTTGCTTGGTTGATTTTGTTTAGCGACATATCAACACCTCTATGGGTTATTTAATGCCGAAATCTAAATATTTTGAACGAAATTGTATGCCTTCAACAACGGATAAAATTTTGGTAATTTTAATATAAATATGTGTTGTTGGTAAATTTTTTTTCTATAAAATTTATCATTAGTATTTTTATTGTAAAAATGTATTTTTATAATTTCATATTGCATTGTTTTTGTTTGCGATGTTCACTATTTGCCCATGGCTGGGACCCTAACAGGTGCTGCCACTCCGAGTTAGGGTGGACTTGGAAACAACCGTAAATAACTAGTGGGGGCAGACTCCTCAAAACCTCCAATCTCCCGATCAGTGACCTCGTTACTGGATATAGTTTATCGTCACACCCACGATTGTTTATATATTGAAAAATATATGCCAAAATCGGACATCATTTTGGAATCCCTGAAGTTATGAAGTCAAAATTATATTATTTTAATGAAAACCGTGAGTAATAATGTTCTTATAAGGAGCGGTGTTCCTTAATTTTCGCATTATCTCTTTCTTTGATTTTACCAGAGTTAAGACTTTAAACTTTAAACAATTTTACCTTGAATCTTGGAGTTGAAATTCAAAGTGATCTACATTGTATTAAATTCCTTAGATTTGAACTTCTGGGGTAACTCTTAAAGAAGGATTTAGAAATTTAGTAATTCTTCCATTGGCCCGAATGGGTCTAGAGCCTTTTTCAGAAGACGTCCAAAAGATGTAGTCTAGATAAAAAAAACTTCCAACATCCTGTTCTGTGAACAGGTTAATATGAGTAGATAGGTTTGATTATACTTCCATGTTTATTAAACAGGTCAAGATGTTTATGAATTGATTTCTGTTTACGATGTGATTTACCGATTCCTATTTAACTGTTTTAATTTTTTACTGATTTGACGGATCAGTAGATGTAACTTTTCCTTTTGAGGATACCGAATTGGTAGTTTTGTGATTGCTTCATCTCGACTGAAGGGAATCCGGACTATTTGGTAGCGCTTATCGGGATATTTGCTGTGCTAAGTCGCGCATGGATATTTGTCTCTGCATGTACTTACAGTGGCCAACCCTTGGACTACATTATGCTTTAGCCTTAACTATCTTCAGACTGGTTTTATATTGTCATAGACGATGATGAACAATGATAATTATTTTGATATTTTTCTCCTTAAATATGAAAATAGATTTCTCATGAAAGTTATAATTAAAAAGAAATAGCGGTAATCCAATAAATAGAGAATCCCCTACTCATTCGAACTCTCTTTTTCAAATGTTCGTGGTATTTACACTAATCTCTGTAATCTAAAGTATTTCTTCTTGAAACATTATGCAGATATATTTACGAAACTATCCTACATACTCTCGTATCATGCAACCTTTGAAAGCCGAATTTGGAAGCTAGTTTAACTACAGTAAATGAATATATAGCTTGGTCAACGATGTAGAGGTGGGCAGCTTTACATACGCCATATTTTATATCTCGCGTATGATGCGACCCACTTAAAATTAGCTTCAAATTTAGATCTTCCAAATTCTCATCAAACGCGAGTATATATGCTATCTATCTCAGCCTGTTGTTACATATCTATCTATCTATCTATCTATCTGTTGAAACTTGACTAATGCATGGAATAATAATGCAACACAACATGTACTTAGAACAAAATGTATTGAAACAAGAAAGTGTACACAATATTTACATATAGTCTTTTGTATATTCCTGGTAAGACCGTTCCTGGAGAATGTGTTGACTGGGTCGCAGTCGGGCAGAGTCTCTGGTTGAATCTCTTGATTCCTCCCTCTCTTCCCGGTACCAACCATATTTATATGGTCGGTACTCCACTATGCAAATTAGGTGGATCCTACCACAACACTATCTATCTATCTATCTATCTATCTATCTATCTATCTATCTATCTATCTATCTATCTATCTATCTCAGCCTCCAACGGTACATCGCTAATTTTATATCTCGTGTATGATGCGACCACCTTAAAATTAACTTCAAATTTAGGTAGTCAAAAGTCGCATAATACGTGAGTATCTATCTATCTATCTATCTATCTATCTATCTATCTCAGCCTGCTGATATCTATCTATCTTTGTCTGCTCATATCTATGTATGTATGTATGTATGTACGTATGTATGTATGTATCTAGCTATCTCGTTATCTAGCTATCTATCTATTTGTCTGTATATCAATCTATTTCTGTTCATATCTATCTATATCAGCCTTATCATATCTCTCTATCTATCTATCTATCTATCTATCTATCTATCTATCTCAGCCTGCTGATATCTATCTATCTTTGTCTGCTCATATCTATGTATGTATGTATGTATGTACGTATGTATGTATGTATCTAGCTATCTCGTTATCTAGCTATCTATTTGTCTGTATATCTATCTATTTCTGTTCATATCTATCTATATCAGCCTTATCATATCTATCTATCTATCTCAGCCTGCTGATATCTATCTATCTTTGTCTGCTCATATCTATGTATGTATGTACGTATGTATGTATGTATCTATCTATCTCGTTATCTATCTATCTATTTGTCTGTATATCTATCTCTGTTTATATCTATCTATATCAGCCTTATCTATCTATCTATCTATCTATCTATCTATCTATCTATATATCTATCTTTCACCGTCTGTTGTCACATATCTATCTATCTATCTATCTATCTATCTATCTATCTCAGCCTTCTCATATCTATCTATCTCTGTCCAGCTCATATCTATCTATCTATCTATCTATCTATCTATCTATCTATCTCAGCCATCTCATATCTATCTCTGTCTGCTCATATGTATGTATGTATGTATGTATGTATCTATCTATCTATCTATCTACCTCAGCCTCTAGCAGTACATATTCTAATTTTATATCTCGTATATAATACGACCACCTTTACGGCAATTCGAGGCGGTGTAATAGTTAGCAAGCGTGCCTTGTTAGAACAATTACGACTGTGTAGCGAGTTCGATTCTTACTGGGTGCCACATACTTTCGGCCTTGTGCCACGTCTAAGCGACGCTTCGAAAATAAAAGGCACCTCGCGGTGCTGTAATGGTTAGCAAGCTTGTCTCGCTCGAACAATTACGACTGAGTAGTGAGATCGATCCTCACTGGGGGCCCCATACGCTTGGAAAATCACTCTAATGCGGCCACCTTAAAATTAGCTTCAATATTTGGTCTTCAAATGTACGCATAATTAATATGCTTCTATCGCTGCCAATGCATTCTTCGATCTAAATACATATGCATGGCCTTGGTGTTGGCATACGGGAAAATCTTCCAATAGCAAGGGAATCGTCACTTGAGTCCTTGAACATTGGCTAGAATTGCAGCACGTATCCCCTAAAGATGGCCTATGCGTTATTTTTCTATGGGCATTTCATCTGGGATACGGATTCAAGAAAATTCTTGATGTCAGAGTTTATTATTCAAGTCAACATTTCCATTATAATATTGGGTCGATGCATTGACTGAAACAGGTTACAGAAAGTGTTTTCCCCGTTTCAAAACAGGGGATTTTTATTTAGTGGACGAGCCAAGAGTGCGCTGCCCAAAACGACTCGATGCAGATCATGTCATTATGTTACATTTTAAAAATATCCGGAGGAATTTCCAGTTATAACTCAAAATGATCTGTGCATGTCCGTGAGACAGAAGACGTGGAACTTGCGTAGGCCGGAAATCAGTTGTGCATTTTTAAAAACCTTTTTAGTTTTCGTGTACGTACCTACACATACTCTGACAATTTCACATACACACGTAGAGAAATTTGGGGCTAGAAAATGTGTGTGTGTGTGTGTGTGTGTGTGTGTGTGTGTGTGTGTGTGTGTGTGTGTGTGTGAGAGAGAGAGAGAGAGAGACAGAAAGAAAGTCGCTTCAGCATTATGATTGTTAAGAAGACAACTGCTGAATTAAAATTGTGCCTGGTGCTGTCAAAAACATAAAGTTAAGCGAGATAATTAAAAATTCCCTCGTCACGAAGGTTGCATAATTTCATTTCTAGAATTTTACAAGTGTTCAATCAGAAATATTTGTTATCATTTTTTTTAAATAATTTATTTCATATTCAAGCATGTTCAGAGTTTAAATTGCTTTGTGCATTTGACATTAATGTAAACGAATTTTCTTTTTCTCTTATTTCTTCTTCTTCTTCTTCTTCTTCTTCTTCTTCTTCTTCTTTCTTTCTTTATTTCTTTCATTATTATTATGATTATTATTATTATTATTATTATTTGATTCACTATTGTCTTCAACACGTAGATGTTGGATGATGTCGGTCATATCTCAAATGCTACCCACAGCTTAGAAACAAAATAATTTCCTCACCACACAAATTCTTAGAGGCTGCAAAGCTACACGCCCACTTCCAATGATAGCAGTTACCATTAAAGAGTTCTGCAATACCAAACGATTTTTGGATTTCTTATTATTTTGTCGGTATCGCATACTGAAATGATCCTTAGAAATTCTGTTTAATTCAAGTGTCAACAAAAGGTTGTTTACAAATGAGGAGCCTTTTCGAGTGTTGATGTCAATCATTTGTAGGTTATTCAAAGCCCGAAAATATCCATGAATTATAATATTTTTATGAAAATAATAGTTTAATGATGCAAGTCTTATTAATTAGCCCATCTGTGTTTAAATGAGTGTCATTTGAGTTATAATTAGCTAGCTGTAATGTGAGTCCTCTAGATAGGCATGTAGTGATGTGTCCAATTTGTAAGTTTGGTTTTGTCAGGAACACATTTGCTTATGGCACATGGGAATTCATAAATAATCTTGGTTCTTTGTAATTTAGATCTTGCAGGTGAGTTTTTGTTGACGTTGGACACTGTTGTAAGTTTTGGGATATATGGTGTCTAAGTAGTCCCCCCACTAGATGTGGTTTACCTACTTCACGCCGATGGCGAGTACTGTATTTTGTTTAGGTTATAAATTTTTCCATTTCATTTCGAAACTCCGTTTTGGTCATTCCTCATTCAGTAGCCCTTCTTAGGTTACACCAATATATACATAAAAATGTCTTAGAATAATTGTCGGACTTTGTCCTTTTCATAATATGTGACGTCATTTGTTTACATTTGGATACGCCATGAGCAAATATGAATGAACGTGAGAGAATCATGGAAGATTGTAGTTTAAAAACAGTAAAATCGACCTTGCTAACCGAACGTTCTTCTGTGGCCCGTCACACGTCAGGCTATATGACGGTTCTGTATAGGATACAGGTTCGATTCCTGTCGGAGGACAGATATTTTCTATGAAAATTTCTCGGACATTCAGGCCGGTAAATGTTGTTTAATACTGTTTATTATAAACAGAGGATTTACTTAAATATTTGTATCTATAAAAAGAATGCATAGACATAAAAATGCCTTAATATATATATATATATATATATATATATATATAAATCACTTGAAAATTAGTAGGAATAATTCCAAGTAGCATACAAATGAAAAGAGAGCTCAATGTAAGAAGAGGCCAAATATAATAATAAATACAGAATCCTTAAATATCCACTTAGATGATAGTTTATTTCGTAGACTCAAACGTCTGTCTGGGTCACCATGGCGACTGGCTTAACTCCTTTCTTTCTCTCACTCTCTTTCCCTTACCCCTCCCCTTGTCTATCTCTCTTTCTGTTCCATCTAACTAACCTTATATTGAAATGTCCGTCTTTCTCCCCTTTTTTCTTTCCCCTTTTAATATTAAAACTTTTCCCCTTTTTTCTCTCCCTTTTTTTTCTTGTTTCTTTTCCTTGTGTCCGAGTGAATTGAACTCCATTTCTTTTGTAAAATTTGGTCTGAATAGATGGGCGTCTAAATGGATTTTTAAGGATTCTTTATTTATTTATTTATTTATTTATTATTATTATTATTATTATTATTATTATTATTATTATTATATATACCAGCTTGATTATACGTAAATATATACACGTAGGTATGTGCATAAATATGTGTGTGTGTGGTTGTGAGTAGCATGCGTGTGTATTCAATAAACACTCGCGTTGAGTCTTGACTAATACTTTGAAACAGTTTTCATCAACTGGTAAATGTCTGGATGATAGTTCATTGGCAGAAGCTCTGGAACCATTCCAGGACTTTTATGACACTTCAAGACATGACGATCGTATTGCCACAATAGAAAATAGGGAATGTCTGCAAGCGAACTGTAATCTTGTAAGAAAAGAAAATTACTCTTCTGCGTCGTGCTTGTTGAAATCAGAATGGCAGTTTTTAGCAACTTCTTGAAAACTTTTCTTGAAGACATTATAACAAATGGATTGATATGAATTATCAGCTTAAAAAATCAATATTATTAAAATTGGAACTAAGTCGTTTATAAACGTCTTCATAAATACACACATACACATATATATGTGTGTGTGCGTGTGTGTTTATGAAGACGTTTTTATATATATATATATATATATATATATATATATATATATATATATATATAATGCATGTTTCATTAAATAATATAGACAAGTGTTGTTAATTTTTTTATGTAAATTCTTTTCATACTGTCTGATTAGCTTAATAACATTATCATTAAACGACGAAAGAAAATCACAATATTTATACAAATTTTTAATCAGGTCTAAGCTTTCGGCTTACATAACCCATTATCAAAGATGACAATTACATTACAATATATTAAGCAATACACAGACAAAACAATGATAGTCTGTTTCTGCTTACATGGAAGATTTCCAAGCAACGACAAACTCGTGCATATAAGACGCTGGAAGCGAAAATCACACCGCAGCTCAAAACATCACACATTACCACGCGAGAGTGAATTCGAGAAGCATTAAGTAAGAAAAGATATTAAGTAAGAGAGATATAAACCAATGGCTTCTGTTATCAATTATAAGCATTTAAGAATGTTTGTGGAGATTTCGTAGTTTATCTTCTTCAGGTTTCAACTGTTTTATGTATATAGCTTCAAGAATTTTTAGTTTTTGTTTATTGTTTTCATGTTTAAGAATAGTTGTGTTTTCAACGAGGATTTTCCGGAATTGTGTATGCAGCCAGGCATGTTGTTTTAAATGCCCAAAAATTTAGCTATCATTCAAATATATATATATATATATATATATATATATATATATATATATATATATATATATATATATATATATATATATATATATGTGTGTGTGTGTGTGTGTGTGGACATTGAAGACAACACCCAGCGGTTACAGTCTGTTTCATTCTTTTACGCAATCGTCAGTCCATATATATGTCCGATTTATATATATATATATATATATATATATATATATATATATATAATAGAAAATAAATGTTTATTAACTTTGATAATGAGCCGTTCGAAACCCCTTATGTTTACTGTAATTTCGTTTGAAAATAAAGACCAATTTTGTCCAACATGTGGATATTTTCTTATTTCGCTGTTCCCCTTGATCTGAGCTTTCGGCTCTCATGAACTATCTGCAGAGTGCTTATTCAGACATTTAAACAAAGATATTCACCACCAAAGAATATATATATATATATATATATATATATATATATATATATATATATATATATATATATATATATATATATATATATATATATATTAATGCTAAGATTATTGGTAATCCGTATAGAATTTCCAAGAAGATAGAGATCCGTTGAGAGCCCTATGACGAAAGACAGATCAGAAAATTGTATATAATAATAAACAAACACTTAAAAAAGAATAGGTGATATTTTATTTCATTGAAGTCAATAAAACATGGCTTCATTTGGATTACAGTTTTGAACTCATGTTTTATTGACTTTAATGAAATAAAATATCACCTATGCCTTTTTAATTGTTTGTTT